GCCTGTTCTGCTCCCTGCTCTGTCTTTAGTGGATTCTCTCACCCTCCCTTCCCTACACCACCACACCTCTGGCTTACACCCTTAGTTCTTCTATGCAAAAATAAATAAATACTATGACATAGCTTTTAAAAAGTCTTTTAATGTGTTTGCATTTCAGCGTCAAAACGATGGCCTACAAGATCTTCTGCCATTTGCATCCACTACGCTAACCTGACCTCCTCTTCACACTCGCTGTCCCAGCCACCAAGCACCTCTAAAAGGTCAAGCTGGCTGCAACTTCAGTGCCTCTATACTTTTTCCTCTCTGTGCCTGCACAGTTTTCTCAATTTTCTTTGAGGCTTGCTTCCCCAGACCTTCAGAGTCTTTGTCCTGCTACTTTGCAGTCAGACAAAGCTCCATGGGAGCAGTAGGGACTGAGAGTGAGAACGATAAAGGACAACGGGAAGGAAGGTGTGACCTCTTTGTGAACCGGTTGGAAAGCTCAAAGCAAATTCTAGGAATAGTTTGGCCCAAGGAAGTGTGTGGGAGAGTAAGGAAAGAGTGGAAGGGGGAGAGGAACCTCCTCTAAAGACTTTGGACTCTAAGTGAAGGAGCTTACTCTATGGATGAAGGTGCCCAACTGAGAATCAAAGTCCGTTTATTCAAGTTTCCATTAAAAAATGTGTTCCAGGGTCCTCCCTGGTGGCGCAGCGGGTTAAAGCACAGCACTGAGAAGCTAAAGCCACTTCCGCATGAGTTCGATTCCCGCCTGCCCTGGAGGAGACCACATGGCGTGGCAGACCTCTCCTGACCCGCCCGCTGCTCCCCTCAGCAGTGTACTTCGTCGATCTGCCTGTTCTGCTCCCCACTCTGTCTCTGGTGAAGCCTCTCGCCGCCCTGAGCTTCTGGCCTGCACCCCAGTTCTGTATGCACAAATAAATAAATCTTTAAAAAAAAAAATGTCTTCCAACCAGAACCAGTGAGTCAGTGTTTGTTGTGGTGATCTAAATATATCTGTGAAAGAAGCAGGAGAAATCACCATCAGCCAAGGAACAAGGAGGCTTAGACAATATGTGTCCAAGAGAAAAATCTTCCACCCCCTTTCAGGAAGTTGATGGGAGAAGGGGGGCTCCCCGAGTCCGCTTGAGAGTTTATGCATCTGTGGAGGAGTCAACGGGGCTGAAAAGGGATTGCAAAGCTACCTGACTGGAAGAGCAGGTCTGTGTCCTCTCCGTGCCTTTGGGTCAGGCCTACCTGGCTGAGCCTCTGGGATCCCTTGATAACCAATGACGCAAGGTCAAGGAGGTCAGTGAATGTGGGTGCCACTGCCCTCTGCTGGAGGGACTGGGGTTCTCCCCAAGACCTGTGTTAGGCTCCAGGTCAATGATTCTTAACCTCTCCTTGATCCTGAGTCCCTTTAAAAACTATGGATTCGAAGGAACAAACAGACAAAATCCGCCCTAAGATCTACATCGAATTTTAGGGCTTCATAGAAAGATACTCTGAAATCCATCCACCAAGGTAAAGGCGTAACTTTAGAGGCGGACAGATCAAAATGCTGGGTCAGGGCTGAGACACCTACCTCTCTGTCAGACAGGATTGAAATAAAGGGGCAACCCATTTGCTGCCAAGAATGCTCTGCAGCTCATATTTGGCAATATTTTCTCTACAAAACAGATTGCGTTGACTAAGAAATTGTTAATGCCTTTTCTAAATTTTTGTTAACCCAGCAGAACAGGTCAGTGATGGCCAGTTATCCCATTTACAGCTGAGTTCATAGACTCCCCAGAAAAATCAAAGCCAACTTGATATTAAGTTCACCAGGGAGGCTTGTGGAATTGTGGAAAATGCATGATTTGAGGCGGCCATTAATCCTCTCACCACCCCTGCAACTCTGGCCTATACCCCAGTTCTATAGCATAAATACGTTTTTAAAATCTTAAGAGGACAAAACTATTATAAATCCCTTTTGAGGATGATATGAAACAAAAATGTAATTTTCTCCTGAAAAAAGGAATTAGTTTTTAGTTGAAGAGAAACTGAAAAAGGCCACTGGCATCTAAATAATCTTTATTTGTTCAGGTGTTGAGCTATAAAATATTCTTATCTGTGTCGTTAGTGAAGCCAAATTTATAATTTAGTAAACTAAACAAAGAATTTACGTGATAATCCAAGTGAGGCTAAAATCTAGTCTAAGTGACAGTTTCTACTTTTCCTCTATCCAATGTGAAAAGATACTGGCTCTCTTGCTTTAAAATTGTTTTATTATAAGAGTCAGTCTTTATATTTAAAATGCAAAACTTCCATCTTGTGAACCATGTTACACAAAATTGGGAGACTCTTAAAGACACTAATAATGACTCATACAAAGAATTCCAATTAGGAAGCCTATTTTAGACAGTTTGCAGTTATTTAAACATTTTGGCATTACTATCAGCCTTTGAAGATGTCCTTATATTTGTGACATGAAGATATTCCAGACTCACTTTGTATTTTCTCGACTATCGCTCTGGAGACTGTCATTTTCCCAAAAAGTCCCGAGTTTTCATAGAAAATGATATTTCGAGGCCAAGATCTAGACTTGCTTATATTGTATCATCACTATTAGGCCCTCATTGCCAACAGGACCAGGAAACACACACACACACATACTTCTGTATGGTGGTGCCAGTACCATCTGTGAGTTGATACCATTCAATTCTAGTCCAACAGCAAAGAGTTCCTTCAAGCTTTCCCTTTCCAACTTTGTGACTCCCTTCTCCTGCATTGAGAAACCTGTTTTTGTCAAAGGTTATAATGAACGTACTGCTGTTCTGAAAAAATACTTTCCCCACATCTATTGGTCTTTGTTCTCCCAGAACTATAAAACTATAAAAACTCCCACATTTTCATTTATTTTGGTCATCCAACCAACAAATACTTATTGAGCAAATACTATGTGGCAGATCATATTCAAGCCTGGGGTTATGGCAGTGAACAAAATATATTGGTGAAGGAAACCTGGAAGAGAGAATAATAGGTACAAAGCTAGGGGACAGTAAAGCTGGGATCTGAACCCAGACAGCCTGACTCCAGAATCCATGTGACCATCTGCCTCTGATTGTTGTTGCAATTTGCTCTTTGACTTCTACAAAAGTTTACAACTCTCTTGAATCCAATAAAAATGCCTCTGTCCATTTTTAAGTCGACATCATACACAGCTGTGTTCATCTTCTGCATTGCTTAATTTCTGTGAGACTCAGTTTCCAAATCCATTAAAATGAAGATATTAACCTTGACCTGTGAGGATAAATGACATTATATGAGGTGCCTGGTATTATTTGTGACACATCATGGATATTGAGTGAAAATAATTTCCCTTTTCTTTTTCAACACAATTGCTCCATCAGAACACAGTCCTTTCCCCCTTTCTAATACTGGGGATACAGAAATGGCACCAACTCCATTCTCAAGGAACTAGGTCACATTCAGAGTCACACAATAATGACACAATCAGGTAAGTAGCTCAGGTGAGAGCTGTGAGTAGGGTAGTCACAGAAGGAGGCTTCCTGAAGGGTCTCTATTCATGGCAATGCCTGGTAGACGGGTCTGCAGTTAGTGTTGATGAGAATGAAGAATATTGTGCCCTCCTTGGTGGTTTGTTTAATGGGTTAATAAAGCACAGTGCTGTGAAGCTATCCACAGACACTGCAGCACGAGTTTGGCCCCAGCCAGGGAGCTGACCCACAGGGCTCAGCAGACCTCTCCTGTCTCACCCACTATTCCCCTCAGCATTGTCTTTCAGTCAATCTGCCTATTGGCTCCCCACTTTGTCTCTGGGAATCCACCCCGCCCCAAACACACACATCTACATATTTCTGGCATGTACCCCAGCTCTTGTATGCATAAATAAATCTTAAAAAAAAAGAATGAATAAACAAATGACAAATGAGTGGATGAATCAATGAATCAATTCAGGTCAACCAATATTTTATAAAAGATCTGACTATCCAAGGTGTGTTCTCTGAACTGGGGGTGCAGAGGAAGAAGCAAGCAGCATAATCTCTTCCTGAATTTCTAGTTTTTACTGGCAGGCATAGACATCTATAAAGAGATGTTCAATCCGAGGTTGAAAATTGTGTGGGGTAGACAACTTTCTGTGACAGTAAGAACATGAGGGGAGACTCCACGGTTTATTAATGTGGGCTTCCTACAGTGAACTTGGGAAGCTTGGCAATAGCTTCCCAAACAGTCATTAACTGTTTCTAACCAGCAGAATATTATGATCAAATTTAGGTGTATTTATGTGTAGGATGGCGGTTGGAAACAGAGAAGAAGACTAAAATCAATGATACTGGCACTGATGATGAATTATGAATAGGAAGCTCGAAATACAACTTTTGACCCAGAGATATGATTTTGCAGTGGTTGCAATTACTCAGGGAAAGAATGTAGAGTGAAAAGAGGCTCGATAGAACCCTATGAGAAAAAGCAGTCCTGGAAGGCCAGCTGAAGAGGAGTCAGGGCAGAACTGGGAGAGCAGTGTCCTGGAAAACAAACGGATTAGGGCGGCTGGGAGCATCAGGAAGGAGGGAACCGTAGTGTCCAGTGCTGTAGAGGTCCGGAAAGTGCCCATTGACTTGGTCAAAGGTGACCTTTGCCAGAGCAGTTTCTGTGTTGGTGGTGATGGCTGGAGTTCCAGCACCAAACTGCTATAAACGAGGGAGCCAGTAGAAAACGTTGGTGAGTCCAATACATGAATGAATACGTCAAGCGCCGTGCCCTCACTTGCCCTGACAGTTTCCATGCCAGCGTCGTCAGGAGTTGGTGCAGAGGAAGGCCTTCCCGACAGGCCTCTGGATGCAGCCTAGGAAACCTGTCAGCCCTCGCAGCCCTTGGGTAGGCGCCGCTCCAAGGTCAGGCTCACCTCCGGCCGCCTGGCTACCCGTCACCTTGGCGACCAACTGAAAAAAACCGGAAAGGACGGAAGCGGGCAGATCATCTCGCGATATCTGGCGTGCCGGCGCCGGCCTTCCGGGCTTGGGCCCTGGGCCTGCTCTCGCGAGACTTGCCTGGCGTCGGAGCGCGGGGCCTGACCCTAAAGGAAAGCTGGATCTGCGGGTGGGGAACATGTCGGACTCAGACCTCGGCAGGAAGTGGGACCGGTGCATGGCGGACACACTCGTGAAGATAGGTAAGGGGCCTCTTGCCCGGACCCGAGCAACCGGCCTCAGGCCCCACTGACCTGGAGGGCGGAAGGAAAGCCCGGTGAGAGGTCAGACTCGGGCCTGCCCCAGCCCCTCCGGCCAGAGCGAGCCGCCCGAGCCTGGGCGGGAGGTCACCCGGCCGGCGGGGCTCACCGGCGGGAGGAGCCTGGGCAGGTTCCGGGAGCGTGGAGGTGGGGGTCGGGTTGGCAGATGGCTGGAGAGCTGCTGCGGTCTTCAAGTGAAAAACAGTGTGCAGGGTACAGGCTTGTGCCCGAGGCTCGAAATTCCCCTCCCTGGTGCCACTCGTCCGGCTCGGGGCGTGGGCTCTTCGGGCGACCCGTCCCTCTCCAGCTGAAACAAGTGCCTTCTTGATAAAGAAGGTCATCGGGAGCACTTTACAGACACTGCCAGGCCCTAAAGTCAGTTGCTGTCATACGCGAGTTGTAACCTGATTTGTCGGCATCAGAGAAGTCTGGGGCCTGAAATTGGAGACATAGTGATGGTCACCCGGAAAGTAAGTTACATTCTTTATAATGTAGCGACGCTAGAGTTTTAGCATGTGCTGAGTGACGACACAGATGATGAGGTCGGTGCGCAGAGGGGAGGGGACCAGAAGGGAGAGAGGGAAACTCACTTTTGAGTTTATGCGAACTACGAGACACTGTACTAGCTAGATTAGCAGCATAATTCATTGTATCACGCAGGACATTCAGCTGAGAGGCAGGTGAAACGATTTGCCCACGTCTAATAAATGACACAAGTTGGGGATTTAACCCTGATTTTTTGGCTTCAGTTCCATACTTTTTAGATGCTAATTTTTATTATCCCAAATTGATGTTTCTGTATAAAAACCACAAGAGCATTTAAGAGGGTTTGGGACTGTTCTGAATGAAAATATTGGAAAAGAAACAGGTTTGTAAACTCCAGGAGAACAGGGCTGCATTCTGGTATATTCACTGCCTCTAGAGGAATGTTTAATAAAACGGTTGAGAATGAATGGGTGATTTATCACAGCTACACTTCTCCCTTGAATTCACCTCTTAGCAGCTGTGTGACTTGGGGCAAGTAATTTAACCTGGCTGTGGCTGTTTCCTTATTTGTAAATTGGCAACGACAGTAAATTATTAGTACTTAGTGGTAATAGTAACTAGGACTATCACACAATTGTGAGGATTAAATGAGTTAGTTTATGTACAGACTTGTGGATTGATCATTTATTAGGTGTGGTTATTTTGGATCTGACCAAAGAAATAGTTTTGTTATTGTTAAGAGTGAACATTTAGCGGGGAAGGCTTAACACCCAGGCATGAGATGACTAAAGTAACTAGTCAGCAATTTTTATCAAGCACTCTTTCAGGGGTAAGGGATACTTTAGCAACTGAACCAGAATGGACTTTGCAATCATATTTCTTTTCCAAAGTAATTACTAAACAGTATGATATAGTAGTTAAGAACGGACTTTGGATACACATAGCGGATTTTTAAACCTTATACTCTTCATACCATCCTCATGAATTTTGTGTCTTTTGATAAATCCCTTCATTTGAAACGGGGAGAAAGAGACAGATAATCTAAAGGAAGACAGATCATCTAAAGGAAGCCAGATCTAAACTGAAGAACAGAAAAATATTTAAGATACTTAGTACAGTCCCTGACACACATTAAGAATTCAGTAGCTAAAAAAAAAAAATTTCAGTAGCTGGCGATAGGTCTGTACACAGGTATACTAAGTTAAATACATAGTGACATGTGATTACAGATAAACATTAAAATGAATGAGTCAGGTTCTTTTTCTGCAGAACTGTTAAATGTAAGTCAACTGAGTTAACTAAGAGTTTGGCCTTTATCTGATCTTTGGAAAATGACTTGGACGTGAATTAAGGGTGGTGGAAGAGCTAGTGCAGAAGCCGAGTTGAGCATTCATAGAAGAAAGAATGAATTGAAACAGGTTACATAGGCTGAGGTGAAGGTGCTGGGGTTGCCGTTGGCGATTTCAGAAGCACTCTACATACGCAGCACCTCTGTCTTCAGCACATCTGTTGCCTCCATAGCTCATTTTGCCTAGGCTGGTAGGGAATCCTGAGATGATTGTGAGCAAATAATGTATCTTGACCTTTGGGCCAGTCAGTGGACACTTAGAAAAGCAGAAAGCATTTCACTGCCCTCAGTGGGGAATTGGTGTGATTGTTCTGGCAGGGCTTTATACAGATTTAGTGTAGAAGAGCGTAATGGTACTATGAATGTGAAGTGGTGAGAGTCTGAACTCTAGACTGGAAAGGGATGGGCATATTTGAGAAACATCAACCTCCCTCCCTCCACACACACACACTGATACCATGGAGTTAGGAATACCTACCTCCCGAGGCCAGCGTGGTGTGGAGTATGTAGATAGGAACTCAAAAATGCTAATTTCTTTATCTTCTCTTCAACCAGTTTACTTGCTTCATTTCATTTCTGCTAAGATCGCTCCAAAATTAGAACTTAGTTCATTGGTCATGTCATTGGTCAGATTTGGAATTAAGAAAGGGTGTGTGGTGGGAATGCAAGCTAGTACAACCACTATGGAAAACTGTCTGGAGGTTCCTCAAACTGCTAAACATGGAGCTTCCCTACGACCCAGCAATCCCACTCCTAAGT